GAATACATCAGACCAAATATTGGAATGCATCAAAATATAATTAGGATATATAAAAAAAATTCAATAATAAATATAAATATTTCGAATTTAATGAAAAAGTAGTAAAAAACCCATCAATTGATGATTTGAAATAATTTTTTGATATATCACATATTTACCATTTTCAAGTTAAACCTATAAAAAAATACAAAATATTGCAAATCATTTAATAAAGATCTCCACTGCAACCTAAAAATTGAAAAAGATTAAATATTCAAACAATTATATATATTAAATATCAAAATGCATCGATTCTAAAACACATTCAAGAGCATAATAAATTGGGAATTAGCAAAATAAACTCTAAAATTTAACAAATTAAGATAGAGCAGCAATCCATCTAGATGAACTAAGAATATAAGATAAGAAATCAATAACTACAATAAATCAAAATAGATTAAGGGGGAAAAAAATGCAAAACTTATTAGGATCAGCTCGAAGATGGTGGCTTGATCAACCTTGACAAAGTTGACGTCTTAAGCCTTGAGCTCATCATTCCCACAAGCAGCATGATAGTTAGACTTCAGAGCCTGGATGTGCTTCTTGTAGTATTCAATCACCTTGGATAAGATACGAATTTTCAGTTAGCTGTCCAAACCAGAAATTATTAGATCTAGCATGCAAGGGGTCAGACGACCATGTGCTTTGGTGAGGCCTGGGGGTTCAGGGGAGAGAAGATGAGGTTTTAGTTTGTCAAATCCAAGTACATATCAATTTCTAATGAAAAAGAAATAATAAAAAGAAAGATACAAAAAATACCCCTATTTCATAAAGATCAACACTTGATGATTTGTTAGATACGGTATGCAAGGGGTCCAATGGCCATGAGCTTTGGTGAGGAAGGGGGTTTAGTTGCAATGAGGGAGAGAATCAATTTATGAGGGAGAAGTGGAAAAGATGAGCTTCTACACACTTTTTTTGGTAAAATGGTGCAAAGCCTACATAATTTTTTCTTTCTTTTAGTAAAAATAAAAAAGAGAGGCACAAAGATTTTTCTTTTTAAATTCAATTCTACATAAACAGGATGTTATGAATATTTTGGGTTTCAGTTTTGGTTAAATGTCCAATTTGGGAGAAAAGATGGGGTTTTAGTTTTGATTAAATACTTGATTTGGTCCTTGAACTTTTATTTTTAAACTAAATTTATCCTTAAACTTTAAAAAGTATTAAAAATATCTTCAAACTTCAATTTTTGGTATCAACTTAGTCTTTCCATCAATTGAAGTGCCATGTGTCACATGAAATTGCCACAAAATCAACCCTTTTTTAAAATTTTAAAATTCTAATGACATGTAAAATAAAACACTTTTTTCTTGTCACAATAGCACCTCTACATCAATTTTCACTTAATAAATAATTTTAATCCAAAAATATCTTTATCTTTCTCTCTCCTCCATCTTCTTCCCCGATTACTCTTCTTCTCCAGTTACAATTTCCTCTCCTCCAATGAACTAATCAAGTAATTAATCAAGTAAATGTAGAAATCTATAACAATCCCCTACAAGAACTAAAAAATATATAAATTTAAACAAAAATAAAAGCTCATTTCCTCTTCATTTTCCTACACTTTCTAAGCAAGCAACAACCCATAAAAATTGAAACAATGACCCAAAGGATGGATATGTTGCTGAGTTAAAGCCAAGTTGCTATGGATTAGTGAAAATCAAACTAAAGCCAAAGGCTGAGGTATTGGGCACCAACAATTCATATAACTTCTTTTTTTCTAAAATTTCAAATAATTCTAGCTCTTGTAAATACCTAGTAAAATTTAAAAAAAAAAGGGGGGGGGGGGGGGGGATTCAATATTGATATGGGTCACATTTAAAGCTATAGAAGCCTAGAAAGTGAGATTACCTTCAGATCTAAAGTGATATGGATTTAGGAACAAATTTGGAGAGCCTTCCAAGGAATGGGCCACCAGGTGGGAGAAGTGAAAAAGATGAGCTTCTACACACTTTTTGGTAAAATGATGCAAAGCCTACATAATTTTTTCTTTGTTTTTAGCAAAAAAGAAAAAAGAAAAAAAGGCATAAAGATATTTATCTTCCAACTAAATTCCACATAAACAGAACGTTATGTGAAAATTGTACATGTAAGTTCAACACAAAGCTTACATCCAAACTAAAACCAATTGGCAATTGGTGAAATAGCTTTCCTTGTATTTAACCCACAAGTTTCTTTGTTATACATTCGATGTGGGATTTTCTTATACGTGCAGGCCTACTATGAATGTTGGGTCCTGTCACGTGGCATAACACACGCTCTTACATGCAAGCAAGCCCAATATCAACTTTAACTTTGGGTCCTATCAGGTGGGCTAACAATGGGCTTTCTAAGACAAAATCTGGGTTTTAATACCATGTGAAATTGTGCATGTGGGCTCAACACAAAGCTTGCATCCAACCTAAAACCAATTGGCAATAGATGAAATAGTCTTCCTTATATTTAACCCACAAGCTTTTTCATCTTACACTAGATGTGAGATTTTCCCACTTAACACGCCACCTCACGTGCAGGCCCAGTCACATGGCTTAACATGCCCCCTTACATGCAGGCCCAGTATCAATTTCAACTTCGGGTCCTATCAGGTGGGATAACAATAAGCTTCCCAGGATAAAATCTGGCATGTGGGCTCAACATAAAACTTACATCAAACCTAAAACCAATTGGCAATAGATGGAGTAGCCTTCCTTGTATTTAACCCACAAGTTTTTTTGTTATACATTCAATGTTGAATTTTCCCACTTAACATGCCCCCTCACGTGCAGGCCTGCTATGAATGTCGGGTCTTATCACATGGCTTAACACGCCCCCTTACATGTTGACCCAATATCAACTTTAACTTTAGGTCCTATCAGGTGAGCTAACAATGGGTTTCTTAGGACAGAATATAAGCTCTTATACCATGTGAAAATTATGTATGTGGGCTTGACACAAGACTTGCATCAAACCTAAAACCAATTGACAATAGATAGAGTAGC